ACACAAGTAAAAAATTCTGGTCAAATTTCACTCATTCGATCTCAAGTCTCGACCGCCGCAACGGCTAGCACACCGAATGACTGGGAATCGACAGCTATTTCACGTTGCAGACGTTGTAACTGTGTCGCTGATCCAGGGCACGGTAAAAATCTCGTTCGTCAAAAGAATAAGACCATTTTACGAAACGCGGAGTTCGTTTATGCAGGCAACGAGTTGCGACAGACTCACAGACACAGTGCAATTTTCTTGCAACTTGCAATGCAATTCTACTTTTCGAAGATGTAAATTTGGAAAAAACAAAACTTGTGTTTATGTCACCAGAGAATAGGCAAACCGTGCAACACGCATGCGAAGACTGGAAACTAAAAAGAAGCAATATTGCCAACATGGCGGTAACGATGTACGCGTTTCTTGAAGCAATTTTACTTCTTGTCAACGCCGTTGCCGTCCTGAACGAAGAAAGATTCCTAGCTAAAAGTAAGTTGAATCCTTTTATGATACACCAATTATTAATCACAATATATTCGTGTATTTTTCCCCTGTATTTGCATGGGTTGAAAATTTGATTGATATTTCATAATGAATTCATTGTTTTCATTCGTCTCTCCTGCGATTTCCTGTAATGCAATTATATGTCGTCTAAATACAGTTTAATGCATCAATTAGGTTTATATTCAAATGAATATTCTTCAGTAACAGTAGTCTTGTCTGTTTATCCTGATGATTGTGGGGTGATTTACTGATTGTTGCAATTTACTTGTTACAATTTCCCTTGTAAACCTCAAAAAGCCATCAGAGTGAATTTAAGGGTGTATGGTAGTCTGGTGGATGAATAGGTACAAGTGCTTGAACACCAAAGTGGAAAATACAAACCAGGAATCAAGAATTAAACCTCAGTCATTTTACTCATTATTTTATTTATTAATACAAAAGATAAATTGATAAAATCATACATATTAGTTTTCATGAGAAAGTCCTATACATCAATTTAGAAGCTAGTAATCACATCAATAAATCTTTGTGATAAAGTCTTTGATCAGTCAATTTAAGTCTGACTAGGACTAATGTTGTTCATCCATTTGTTACGTTTGTTGTGTAGGCAAATAGCCAATAGCAACAAACATAATCCACAATGGTTAGTGTTGATGTAGGTACATTACTAGCTAGCTAGCTAATGGATGGCATAATCAAGGTAACTAACCCGTGTTTTTAAACAGTTGGCTGGGGGCGAGACCAGATCAATCAACCTCAGGGTTTTGGACATGAAGAAAAAGGTGTAAAACAACAAATTGCTAACCTAATCCACGCCGTAAGAACAGTCATGAGAGGTAGGAAGCAAAGATAAATTGATTCAAAAGAAAGGAATTTTCAAAAATCAAAATGTTCAAAGTAATTGAAAAGAACATTATTTTTTTAGTCCCTCTGATATTCCTGAATGCTTTTGCAATTGTTATGGAATTGTTAATGGGTTAGGAAACAATCTGGCTGTCAATGTTCAGTATGAATTTGCGGAAAGTGGGAAATGTACAGTTATTGATAAAAAACTATAGTAATATTTTAAATAAATTCATTAAAAATACATTCGCAGAATTGTTGAGCTTTATAAATACTCCTAATTCAATCATTGACTTATTTTGTCAACAATTTTAAACACAATAGTGTATAAATTTGATTGTTGGTCTTATAACTGGAACTTTTTTGAAGCCACATAGTTGAATGACCCCTTCCTGGTAAACACATCACTTGACTCCCACTATAGACATTATCTACAAAAAAAACATTTGATTTATTTTGTACAATCATGAGAGGTATGAAGCAAAGATAAATTGATTTAAAAGAAATTAATTTTCAAAAATCGAAATGTTCAAAGTAATAGAAAAGAACATTATTTTTTTAGTCCCTCTGATATTCCTGAATGCTTTTGCAATTGTTATGGAATTGTTAATGGCTAGGAAACAATGAGCAGTGTTGCCATAAGCAACTCTATTTGCACAGTTAAATGGAGTGTGATATTGTTCAAAGCCAGACAATTTTACTTTCCAAGATAACATGTTATATGGCAGTAGTTTCCAAATTGAATGGAAAACTAAAATATACAATAATAAAACCAATATTAGTCATACCTTTTCATAAACTGTCCAGGACATTGCTGATATCAATGTTCTTCTTAATGCTCGTGGAACAAAACCTTTAAAAAATCCCTGCAAACCATTGTTCTGAAATGGTGTGATGAAATACTATATTAACCTTTTGATCATCCATATCACTACATCACATTCAAAGTCTATTACCTTGAAAATATTTTTGATTATAGCAGTAATCTTATAAGGTTCCGAGCTTGCTTGTATCAATGTTTTAACAACATCTGCAGGGTGAGTGAGAAGGGATGCAAATATCCCTGATGTTAGTCCACATATTGCAATGGATGGGGAGCTCAGCTTTTCTTTTCCAAGACCTAAAAAGATTATCACTTATCAGTACAATAAACATGCCGCAACTTTGTTTGGTTAGTTGAGTCATGGTTGAGATATTACTGGTATTGATTACGCACTTTGTTTGACAATTTCTTTGATGCGACCATAAAACATTAAATAGGCACCAGAAAATGGGGCATCGCGTATGATTGTTGTAAAACTTCCACGATATAAACCTAGGGTGCAGTAAAAGATAAATTACTTTAAAAATATTGATTCAACATACATCAAATGTTCCCATTTTAATAGCAACAATAACATTTTAGTTTTAAACACCCACTACTATGTAGACATACATTGTAGTTTCATGCACATATAGTTCATACCTCGAACACCTTCAGTTGACCAAATGTAAGTAAATGCTTTTGGGACTGTCTTGTAATGGTATTTACCACTCTGTAAGATTTGGTAATAATTTAAAGTTTATGTTAGTTTAAAGTGTAATAATATTACAATAATATTACGAGCACCTTGTTTGGATTGTTTATTAGTAGATCAAATATAATTTGTGAGAAAAGGAATCAGATTTGTTGAAAGCAGTACCTCAAATCTTATTTTGATAACATTGACTGGCATAAGACATAGCACAACAAAACCTCTTGCAGACGCACCCAATGCAAATCTTTTCACATTACTTGGTTTCTCTCTAATGATACATCAAAATGAATTGGTACTAAATTGGAGAGTATTGGTGTTGGAGAGATGTTTGTAATTGAGAGAGGTGTAAAATTATAAATGGAGTATTGCTCAGCGAAGTAATAAAATTTAAGAGAAAGGGTTCCTGTATTAAAGAGCCGAGCTTACTATGTTCAAGGTATGGGTATGTTCTAATTAGAGGCTGGTCAAAGAGAGAGCTAGCTGTTCCACAATGAAACTAGACATATTTTAGAAAGGAGTATCTGAGCGAAGTGTCAGTATATATTAGAGATATTAATTTGAGTATGATAGCATGAGCCCCTGTGATACCATAGCATATATACCATACCTCAGTCTCCCATCCAGCAGATGTAGACAACCATAATATAATCCAACTCCAGGAACTGTACGATAGAGTGACTATGTATAGGAAAGCACAAACAATTTTTTTTAATCTAGAAAATAATTCTAATCACACAGACAATTAGGGCCAATTCCCAAGTGGTTTTGTGGACAAGTGAACATTATTGCAAGGCAGTTAGAATATCTGACAGGTAGCATATACACTTTGACATTTTGAAGCAGCATTTTGCTGCAATCAATTGTTGACGTCCTTGTATTTTCAGTTAGCCTATGTAAGTACACTATGTCTATAGGCGGGGATGCCCACTCAAACAAAAATACCTGTCATATTCGATGAATTCAACATATGTTAATTAATTACATAAATTGGATTGTGTTTCAAAATAGTCAAGTTTACATGCAGTTTTCTAAAACAGATTGATTTAAGAGTTTGGCCAATCAGGAGATTATGAGTACAACATACTGGTATAGTTCCTTTCCATAGCCCAATGACTTTTTCATTTTTTAAAACTTCCTTGAATGTTTTCCTCAAAACGTCATGCCTGAAAAGACCGGTTCGATGATGTGACTAGCAGACTATATGCAGAGCATTTTGCTACTGGAAGTTACTGAGATAAGGTATCATTGTCTGGATACCAAATTTACCAGAACACCAAGTTTACCTTTTACGTGAATTGATTTGTATTCTAGTTTTGAGGAGGTCGAGAGGTTGCAGTAGTAATGTGGATGTTGTTCCACTGAATGACCCACTGATTATAGCTGTTGAGACATTCTGACAAATATATCAAAATAAGTTTAATAAGGTGTAGCAGGTGTAAAGTATATTTAAAATACTGGTACCAAAGTTGTCACTTGTCAGAAAACTGCACATGGTATTGCTAGACACATTCCAAGTCAATCATTGGTTTAACGAAATAAATAACAAAAGACATTGAGATAGGTTCATGCTGACTGTCATTTGCATAATCTCCGCAATAAACTCGAAAGTACTCACCCTAGCTCTTTTTTCACTCATTCCAAAACTCCATTCACTTATTCATCACCCAGTGGACAGCTTGATTTCATACAGTATTAAAACACAAAAAACCTAATAACACCATCATTTATTTGCAAATTTTATTTGCATTCGCAAGCCATATTGTCAATATCTCATTCTTTCATTTATTCGCCATCCATTTTTTCCATTTTTTCCCACCGAATTTCAAACATTGCGAATAGTAGCCGAAGCTGCACCGAGTAGGCTACGATTAGTGCCGGATTTGATTGGGCTATTTCGTCCATCCAGTTAAACTTGCGGGTCAGTCAGTCAGTGAATGACGAATCAGGAACCGAAGTTAACCCGAGTGTGTTCCGAGATATATCCGGAAATTCACTTGAAGAACTTGACGTACATTGCAGCATTCGAGTTTATTAATTTTCCTTGAAAAACGGCATTGACATTAAAGTATCTTAGTGCCAGGGGAATTCTTAGGAAAATTAAGGAATTTTATTATTTTTCCAAAGAAATGATCGACGGCTAATGAGAAATGAGTTCCTTTTCAGCTCAAAACACCAAAGATTATCGTGAATAACGACACGTTAGGGTTCATTTTTACACCTTTTCTGAAACGATTTCAAGGACTTGAGTTGATGAAATAAAGCTTACGTTATTTATAAGAGGGAAGACAGAAAGAAACCAGTGAATTTCTTTGTATAAAACGTCTGAATTGTCGATCGTACTTTGTACAGAAGACAGAACTTGATGTATTATTGATCTATTTTTGACAGCTGTTTATGCAAATCTCTGAGATCATTTGAATCTTGATCAGCATAGTGGAAAAACAGTCTAAACAACAACATTTCGTTTTTTAAAAATGTTGTTAAAACTATATTTGTGTGTTGTTGCAACATTATTTGGCAACTTTTGTATGATTCTGGGTGACATTGAAAAAATCTCACTGCGTATGCCTGGCGTTACACCTAAAAAGGTACGTTGTTTTTTTATAAATACATTATGAAATTGTGAATATAATGCTGTAACAGCGTGTTGTCATGTTGATCGCATGATTTTGTGGTAAAATCGTCGAACTATAACTCTATACCAAGTTTTCTCACTTTTCTGAGAATACTCTTATGTTTGCAAAGAGCATTCTTATGTTGCACTGTACGCTGTAATTAACGTCCTTTATCGATTTCAAAGCAGTGAGCTGTTTCTTCAAAACAATATTAGGTTAATTTTGTTTATATTCAACAGCTAGCTGTCAATAAGTGAGTTGTGATAGCAGAATGATTCATTCATTTGTGACAGCAGAAATGTCGTTCCACAATGAATGTGGGATATATAACCATTAGTCTGATAATGGCCTGGTTTATGCTTCATATTACAGATAGAGCTAGATCATCTGTCTGGATTGACAAACTTGTGCATTGTTAGGATAGTTGGTTTCATTTGACTTCATAATGAGACAAACTGCCTTGTCTTAATTTGCTGAAGCTCCAGATGGACGATCTGCCTTTGGTATATAAATCAGGCTATAAATTCAGACGATCAGTTATTCAATATAAAAAATATGGAGCAAATTTATCATTCCAGAGGCCAGATGTTCAAAAGCGGCTTATCTAAATTTGGGTTAATTCAAATCTTCATATAAATCTTTCCAATTTCTTATCTATAAACATGAAATAAATACACATTTGCAGAATCCCTTCTCGTTTCTTCTGGTTTGATAGAATTTTTTTTAAGTTTTGAAATGAATAGCTATCCGAAATACATGAGCAAATATGGTGGACCATTATATTTAACCATAGAGTTCATCGAGTTTTGAATAAGCCCCTCCTCTGGGTGAGGTCTGGCTTTCAAATAGTTCATAAGACTATAGGGCAAAACATAATTTGCTATCAAGACATTTTTAATGTATGTTAAACTGTTGTCAATTCATATGCCAAACATAATATTGTGCTCCAAATGGAAAAACAAAATTTAATTGCTGCATAGCTCTTTCATCTTTAGCTTGGAAATATAGGTATATATGACTACACTACAGATGTGTGTTAATTGTTATAGGTTATATTTCTATTGTATTATAACTTGTATGTTCATTATTTTCAGGATGATAGCTACTTTTGCATGTCCTATAAACTTCCACCTGGAGATTTATTTATAGGTAAGATGTGTTTATTATTGGATTCTCCAGTTTATGAGCACAAATGCCTCACACTGGGGGAAAAAAAGGAACCGTTTTTATTTAATATGTGAGCTGAAGATGCAAGACATCTGTGTTTATAGACAATATCATATTCTCTCTTATAAATCTTTCAATGTTGTTACTTGCAATTTCACATATTGAATAGCAGGATAATTAATGGCCTAGGTCAAGGATCTGTTAATTAATTATCCTTGAATAGAGTGCATATGTGATTTAACTTGAGAACCTTAATTGAAGTTTAAAAGTTTACATTGTTGTATTTGTGTTTTGTTTAGTGAAATATGAACCAGATGCCCACAAAGAAACAGCACATCATATGCTGTTATTTGGATGTCAAGCACCAGGCAGTTATCATAAAGCTTGGTAAGTTTGAGATTCTGTGGTTAACAATTTGTATGATGTGTAACAGCCTAACTATGGAGAGTGAAAGATTAGTTTTTTGAATGCTCTGTGTTATACTTGTATTTTTTTACCTTTTAGGAATTGTGGTGACATGGGATCTGGGACTTGCTCTGGATCTGAGTCTATTTTGTTTGGATGGGCACGAGATGCTCCAGCACTTCAACTACCAAAAGGTATGTTTGATGTTAAGATTTTGAATACATATTTTTCGTAAAAGAACTTTATAGCTGGCATAACCGATCTGGCAAATGTGAAATATGATGAGTAATGATGCTTTTGGTCATGAAATTATGAGCTGAAATTATGAATTTCTAAAGATAGTTTTAACCTGAATGCACCAATGAGTTTACTTTGAATGTACTAAATAGTAATATGCCCAAATGTGTGGACTACTTTTAGCTATTTTGACCTGTACCAAGTCCACCATATGAATTTTATACCTATTTGCATGAGTCATTTCTTTCATTTCATTTAGATGTTGGATTCAAAATCGGTGGGAATACAGAAATACAGTATCTCGCACTTCAAATACATTATGCTCATGCACTTGAAGGTATTTTAACAGTTGACTAGTGAACATTGTACGTGTCATTGTCCTCAAATAGTGTCTCATCAAATGTTTATTTAACAACAGTCTAAAAAAAGCTAATTTTCTTCATCAGGGTGCTGGTTGTATATATCAAGCCCATGCATTTAGCTTAAACAGGGGTTTAGTTCAAAGTAGAAATCAAGTCTGATCATTTTATTCAACAAGAGGACTAAATGTTTTAATTCAAAGATACTGTTTACAACTACATATTTAGTGCATAATATTCAAGTTGACTCATTCAAGAGAGATGTAAGAGTGTTGTTTAATTTTGGTAATGGCCCTAATATATCAAATTGCCAAAAAGTTTTTTGTCATTTCTTAGGCAGTTGCTATACCACATTCGAGAATTTAGCAAATGACCTCTTTCTTACCTGCTACAGACTTATTATAAAAAATGGCAAAAACATTTAGTTTTCCTTACATATCCATTTTAGAGAAACATTATGACAGATCAGGATTGACATTGCATGTGACTTCAGCACCGTAAGTGTTTGATTCATGAACCATTATTAATGCAGCTACTGCTGCAAGCAGATCGAGATAGTTAAAAGGTTTGAGCAGCTGCTTATTTTGAGGTTTTCATTTTAGACAGCCGAACTTGGCATCAATATACCTTCTGATGGCAATAAATGCATTCATTCCACCTCATTCTCAAGGTTTGTATCAAGTTATGTATAGCTAATGTTCAATTGATATTGACCCCCTCAATATCAATTGAATGTGCTGCAACTCTGAGTGTTCCTTGCTTCAGTTGCTTGCCCCCTTGGTTAGTGTCAAAGTAGAACTTTTGCCTTTTTGTCAACTTTATGGACTATTTTAAGGTCTGTTCGCACAATCCAATTTTGTTAAATCCAATTCACGTCTGATGGATGTGTTATAGTTTGTTGTCTTGTAATGTATGTGAGCTGCAGCAATTCCACTGAAGCCAATGCACTATTGCGTCAAAAGTGAATAAAATTGGATCGTGTGAACAGACCTTTATGTAAGCTATATAATCTTGAATAACCAATAGTAAGAAAGCAAAAAATGAAAATCAATTAAACTCAAGAGCTGTAAAGGGTCTTAATTTTGAGTGGAATTATACACACTTCAAATTCAAGCCAGGAACAGTTGATGAAAAAATGAGTCAACTATAGGTCCTCTCGCAGGAATCGAACCTATGCTTTTGCGATGCCGGTGCAATGGTCCTGCCACTGAGGCTGACTGAGCTACAGAGGTAGCTGAGAAGAGTAAGCGTGGTTAATGTGTATAGGATGGTAATGCCGGGATGGTAATCATGGTAAAAGCAATTAGGTTTGATTCCTGCCGGAGGACCTATAGTTGACTCATTTTTCCATCAACTGTTCCTGACTTGATTTTGAAGTGTGCATAATTCCACTCGAAATTAAGACCCTTTAAACCTCTAAAATTTACTTACATTGAGTGAAGTGCCAAAAATCATAATCGATTTACCCTCAATTAAACTCAGTTATACGTATTTCCGTGAGACAAATGATAAGTAAAATCACATTTATTAAACAGTATTTTGATGCTAAAGTATCCATTATTTTCAAATTATAGTAATTACATTTATTTTGCATATTACATAATCAATGATTATAACAGTTTTTGTCCAATCAGCAAGTTTTGCTCAAGCATCCTTAAGTTAACTGAATGAATTATATAAAATTACATAAATTCGATCTAAATTTCTATCATTTGTAAATTTATTAAACAATTTACACAAAAAAGAATATTATAGACAAAACTGACATGACTTTATCCTGCTATGACTACAAGAATCATTCTTATTGACATGTTATTTATTGGATAAATTACCAGGCAGCTCCAGTATAGTAATACTTAGTTGGTTACCAAACAGCTGCATTAGCCCGGTATCTTGCCTCGTGCATTTCTGGAAGTTCTTCCCAGCTGTATCTGTCAAATCTAAAACTTTCCACAGACTTCAAGGTATTTCCTCTTTCATCCAGGCCTCCCATCACGATCACGGTGTCTCTGACAACTGCAGCCACACATCCTTTCCTCTTGTACTTCATGTCAGGAAGCATGTGACTCTTCTGGGTCTTGATGTTGTAGATTAAAACTTTGCTTAATACTTTGCCTTCACTGTCAACACCACCCATTATGATGACGTTATTTTCACCCCACTTGACTATAGCCATGTTACTCACAGGATAGGGGAGGGGAGCTATCTTCTGACATTCCTTCTTAGTTATATCAAACATCAGAACACTTTTGAAGGTTGAGTTATAGGAAAGGAGTTTTCTTCCTCCAACTATCAAAATCTTGTCATCAAATATTGCCACGCCATAAAACCATCTTCTCTCTGGCAAGACTGACAACAGTTTACCGGTGTAAGGTGAAACAAGGGAGATCTCAGTAATTTTGATGGAAGGTGTAGTTAGTTCGAAAGATAAAAGGTCTCTCGGATCATGACCACCAATCAATATCAACCGTCCTTGATAAAGAACACTGCAGTTTCCCACCAGTGAACCAGCCCCAGGTGACTCAACAACAACTTCCCACTCAGCTCTGGACTGGTCAACTTGAGCATCGTCCAGTGATAACTTTATCATCGACGTCTGAAATGTAGATCCCAAAACAAATAGATGATTGTTGTGAACGAACGAAGTTGCTCCAGAGAGGTATTCTCTCATTGGCTGTAGTAGTGTCCAGGTTCCGCTCGCTAGACTGAACATTTCCACCGATGTTAATCTTTCACCTCCAGCAACAATGATTTTCGGTTCTCTTTTTTTTCTTGCTTGGAATTCCTTTCTTCAGTTGCTTCGTGATCTCATTCAAACATTTCTTCATTTCAACATTGTCCGCTTCCAGTCGACGATTGCTTTCTTCCAGCCGTCGATTGCTTTCTTCCGGCTTCTTTAGTTGTTCTTGAACCAACTTTTCCACTTTCGACACCACATTTTCTTCAACAGTTTTCATGTTCACGTCATTTCTTTCCAACTTCACAGTAATCGATGCCAAGTTAATTTTAACGACATTCATCTCTCGTTTTATGTCATTACAACTATGACATTTAACTCTGCGTTGTTCACACACAGCTGTTTCATGATGAAGTAAATCTTGCTTGTTGACTTCCCGTCCACAACCTTCATTCGAGCAGAATGCTGGAGCAAACCCACACTCTGCAACATGCTTTTCAAGAGCTTCCAACTCAATAAATCTTTCACAACCACGGTTGAAGAATTCACAACGGATCTTAAGTTCAGAAAGCAAGTTCGCTACGGTACGATTCACTTTCAAAGCATCGACAGTGAGTGGTTCCATACATGTCGGGCATGTCTGAGAGTACATGAGATGTCTTGTGATACAACCACGACAAAATACATGTTCATTATGGCGACACATGACCGGGTCTTTGATGACATTGGTACAAATGATACAGTGCAAGGTTTGGCTGACAATCTGTTCAAAGCGTTCATCATCGTAACCTGTGTCGTACGAGGCAAATTTCGATGCCGCCATTTGAAGACCCTTAGATTTTGCTCACATTTCTGAACCAGTAAAACCTGTGAGTCAAAGACTTAAACGTTAAAACAGAAACCAAACAGCAGCTCTCAATTTTAACTGACCCCACATTGTTGGTCAATAATACAATAGCCTTTGCCACGTTGTTTTTTACGTTTATAACCTTGCTTGAGTGAGTGAAGTGAAGTGAATAATATACTTAGTACTACTTACTTTAGGGATTAAACCGCTCCTTTAGGCCTTGAGACACGCAGTTAAAAACAAACGTTTGATAGATGATGTATGTTCTGTAGTTTGAGGGTTTAATATAGAGCTGCAGTTCCGGGATATTAAATTTCATTAAAATTACGGCATCCACAGACCACAGAGAGTGTTTGTTAAAATTATAGTTTTGTAGCTTGTATTTTTACCAATTCCCAGGGGCCGGTTGTATTAAGCCTGTTTAGCTTAAACGGTAGTTAAGTTCAAAATAGAAAGCAAGTCTATCGTTTTATTCAACAAGCAAACAAAATGTGTTTACCCTTAAATACTAAGATACTGTTTACAACTACATATTCAGTGCATAATATTCAAGTTGACTCATTCAAGAGAGATGTAAGAGTGTTAATTTAATTTTGACTTATCCACCGTTTAACTGAGCTAAACGGGCTTGATACAACCAGCCCTAAAGCTATTGTTGAGCAAATGCTATCGATTATTATGTACTGGTTTGGTATGTAAAAGAAAACCGCATTTCAACGTTTCAGTTCAGTTTCAAGCCTTGGCTAAAATTCCTAAGCATCTTCGTATATTCGGATTTCGGCATTGCGACATTCCACAATTTTGGGGATGTGGGACCGGTTGTTCGAAAGGCGTTTAGCTTTTAACGGTGGATAAGTTCAAAATGGAAAACAAAATGATCTATTTATTGAACAACTGAGCTGAAATATTTCGATTTAAATAGTTTAATTTTCAATAGAAGTACGTATATAATGCATAAGATGTAGGTTCAGTCATTCACAAGATGTATGACTTTGGCTTATCCACCGTTTAAGCTAAATGCCTTTCGAACAACTGTCCCCATATAGTTAATGAAATGAAAAGCTGTGAAAGTCAAAGTTAAAAATTCCCACCGGCTTTTTGACACCTTGCTAAACTGACGGCTGAGATACTGTGGCTAAACCTAAGTGTTGCAGATTGTGACATCACATTTGCGTCGGGGTTTCTAAATTATTCAAAGAGGGTTGCTGCGCCAAAACTGTGTAGCCAGAGGTAGGAAACCTGGATCTAAAATTGATTTCTCATTTACTATATTTTTTTCAAAAAATTATGCTATTAACAACACATTGCTACTTTTGAAGACCCACACAGATCAATATTATATCTCACAGTTTATCTTAGTCGACTTTATCTTAATCCTAACCCAATGTTGTGTACAACCTGAGCCTAATTCATGTCCATTTATTGAAAGCGAAAAATGAAACTCAATTAAACTCAGTTATACGTATTTCCGTGAGACAAATGATAAGTAAAATCACATTTATTAAACAATATTTTGATGCTAAAGCATACATTATTTTCAGATTATGGTAATTACGTTTATTTTCCATTGGTTATAACAGTTTTTGTCCCATCAGCAAGTTTTGCTCAAGCATGCTTAAGTTAACTGAATGAATTATATAAAATTACATAAATTCTATCTAAATTTCTATCATTTGTAAATTGATTAAACAATTTACACAAAAAAGAATATTATAGACAAAACTGACATGACTTTATCTTGCTACTATTACAAGAATCAATTTTATTTATTATCGACATGTTATTTATTGGATAAATTACTAGGCAGCTCCAGTTTATTAATACGCAGTTTGTTACCAAACAGCTGCAGTAGTCCAGCATCTTGCCTCGTGCATTTCTGGAAGTTCTTCCCAGCTGTATCTGTCAAATCTAAAACTTTCCACAGACTTCAAGGCATTTCCTCTTTCATCCTGGCCTCCCATCACGATCACGGTGTCTCTGACAACTGCAGCCACACATCCTCGCCTCATGTACTTCATGTCAGGAAGCATGTGACTCTTCTGGGTCTTGATGTTGTAAATTAAAACTGTGCTTAATGCTTTGCCTTCACTGTCACCACCACCCATTATGATGACGTTATCTTCACCCCACTTGACTGTGGTCATGTTACTCACAGGGTAGGGGAGGGGAGCCAACTCCTGACATTCCTTCTTATTTATATCAAACATCAGAACACTTTTGAAGGTTGAGTCATAGGAAAAGCGTCTTCTTCCTCCAACTATCAAAATCTTGTCATCAAATATTGCGACGCCATGAAACCATCTTCCCTCTGGCAAGATTGACAACAGTTTACAGGTGTAAGGTGGGACAAGGGAGATCTCAATAATTTTATTGGAAGGTGCAGTTGATTTCGAAAGTAAAAGCTTTCTACGATCATGACCAGCAATCAATATCAACCGTCCTTGATAAAGAACAGTGCAGTGTCCCACAGGTGACCCAGCCCCAGGTAACTCAACAGGAACATCTTCCCACTCTGCTCTGGACTGGTCAACTTGAGCATCGTCCAGTGATAACTTTACCATCGGCGTCTTATATGAAGATCCCAAAACAAATAAATGATTGTTGTGAACGAACAAGGTTGCTCCAGGGAGACATTCTATCATTGGCTGTAGTCGTGTCCAGGTCCCGCTCGCCAGGCTGAACATTTCTACCGATGTTGACGTCGATTCGTCGCCTCCAGCAACAATGATTTTCGGTTCCCTGTCCTTTCCATCAGCTTTTGGAATTCCTTTCTTCAGTTGCTTCGTGATCTCATTCAAACATTTCTTCACTTCAACATTGTCCGCTTCCAGCCGACGATTGCTTTCTTCCTGCTTCTCTAGTTGTTCTTGAACCAACTTTTCAACTTTTGAAACATTTTCCTCAATAGCGGCGACCTTCGCTTCATTTCTTTCCAACTTTACATTAATCGATGCCAAGTTAACTTTGAAGACATCCATCTCTCGTTTTATGTCATTACAACTATGACATTTAACTCTGCGTTGTTCACACACAGCTGTTTCATGACGAAGTAAATCTTGTTTGTCGACTTCCCGTCCACAACCTTCATTCGAGCAGAATGCTGGAGCAAACCCACACTCTGCAACATGCTTTTCAAGACCTTCCAACTCAATAAATCTTTCACAACCACGGTTGAAGAATTCACAACGGATCTTAAGTTCAGAAAGCAAATTCGCTACGGTACGATTCACTTTCAAAGTATCGACAGTGAGTGGTTCCATACATGTCGGGCATGTCTGAGAGTACATGAGATGTCTGGTGATACAACCACGACAAAATACATGTTCATTATGGCGACACATGACCGGGTCTTTGATGACATTGGTGCAAATGATACAGTGCAAGGTCTGGCTGACAATCTGTTCAAAGCGTTCATCATCGTAACCTGTGTCGTACGAGACAAATTTCGATGCCGCCATTTCAAAACAATCAATAGCGTTCAAAGATCGTCGCTCACATTTTTGAACCAGTAGAATATAAAACTGCAAATTAAGAAATTAATCATTACAACAAAATTAAACGGAATCTTTCGATGTATACTCTCCTAAATTTTTATTCAACAATAGTTCTGCATCAATAATCGTTGCCACGTCAGTTTATCACTTCTCTTAGTTTGTAAATATCTAACACTCCGAAAAATCACAAACTTACCTTTGTTAAGATTACCAGGATATGGCTACTTGCCTTCAAAGTCACTGCAACTATAATTTAAGCGACTAAACGACTTTAAGAAAGCTCTGCCTTAATGAGAGATTCGCGATAAGCCTTGTCTCAGTTTCTGTTTTAAAGCAACCCTAATTCCTGAATGTTAATTTTGCAATTCCTCACGAAGGACTCCTGCAGAGATGTTTCGTAAGGGCTGTTTTTTTACTGTCATATTTTCTATACATATACATACTGCACTTGCACCCACGTAAAAAGTGTAAAACCTATATAGGTTCATGAGTCTTACATGAAGTATTTATTGTTCGTTTAAGTAAATTAGCTTGTAGGTACACCACGTAAGAATTTAATACTACAAAGCTTTCGGTCCGTTAACCCGGGCCTTCATCAGTGCAATTACTGTACGAGGAAGAAAGCCCGGGTTAATGGACCGGAAGCTTTGCAGTATTAAATACTTGCGTGATGTATACCCACAAGCTAATTTACTTATTTGATGTCACCATGCAAACGTATACAAGAATATTCTTCATTTGTTTGGCGAGTGTCGTTAAATCGACGTTTAAAAAGTTCCTGATAACTAACAAAAACCCAAATTTTAACTATCACTTCTTCTACAGTAAACAGGCTTTGACTTTCCCCAGACGTCGAGTTCTTTGTTGTATTTTCTATCAAAATCACACACCACTAGCAAAAAAGTAGCCGTTGCATGAGGTTATTTTTTAGGTACAAATCGGTATTAAACCTTACAATTATACCTTTAGTCGACTTCATGTTAATCCTAACCCAATGTTGTGTTCAACCTGAGCCTAATTTGTGTTCATTTGTTGCCTAATTCTAATATAAGAGTTTATTTACTAAAATCACTCTTCGAAATTCCGTCTGTACTCGTGGTAAAATTCAGTTTTTACCAAACAGCTGCGGTGGCCTCGTATCTTGCCTCGTGCATTTCTGGAAGTTCTTCCCAGCTGTATCTGTCAAATCTAAAACTTTCCACAGACTTCAAGGCATTTCCTCTTTCATCCTGGCCTCCCATCACGATCACGGTGTCTCTGACAACTGCAGCCACACATCCTTTCCTCTTGTACTTCATGTCAGGAAGCATGTGACTCTTCTGGTCTTGATGTTGTAAATTAAAACTGTGCTTAATGCTTTGTGGTTACTGTCGACACCACCCATTATGATGACGTTATCTTCACTCCACTTGACTGTGGCCATTTGACTCACGGGGTAGGGGAGGGAGCCAACTCCTGACATTCATTTTTTATGATGTCACACATAAGAACATTTCTGGGAATCGATTTATGGAAATGTTCTCCCTTCCTCCAACAATCAGGATCTTGTCACCAAACAGGGCAGCACCATGAAGATATCTCCCTTGTGGCATGGTCGACAACACTTTAATGGTGTAAGGTGCAGCGAGAGAAATCTCAGTAATTCTGTCAGAAGATTCATATGTAACTCTATGAAATCCACCAATCACGAGCAACCCTCCAAGATATAGAACACTGCAGTGCTATACAATGATCCAGGTAACTCGGCAGGAACGATTTCCCACTTGGCTGTGGACTGGTCAATTTGAGCATCGGTCCAATGATAACTTCTCCAAAGATGTCTTTCTCCAACCCCAGGATGAATAACTGATTGTTGTGCACAAATGAAGTCGCTCCTTCGCGATGCTCTCTCATTGCCTGTTAGTGGAGTCCAGGTCCCACTCGCCAGATTGAACATTTCCACCGATCCAGACTCCTCGCCTCCAGCAACAACAACTTTCGGTTCTCTGTCCATTCCATCAGCTTTTGGAATTCCTTTCTTCAGTTGCTTCGTGATTTCATTCAAACATTTCTTCACTTCAACATTGTCCGCTTCCAGCCGACGATTGCTTTCTTCCTGCTTCTCTAGTTGTTCTTGAACCAACTTTTCAACTTTTGAAACATTTTCCTCAATAGCGGCGACCTTCGCTTCATTTCTGTCCAATTTTTCATTGATCGATGCCAAGTTTACTTTAATGATATTCATTTCATCGCCTTTCACTACGCGTAGTTCACACACAGCTGTTTCATGATGAAGTAAATCTTGCTTGTTGACTTCCCGTCCACAACCTTCATTCGAGCAGAATGCTGGAGCAAACCCACACTCTGCAACGTGCTTTTCAAGATCTCCCAACTCAATAAATCTTTCACAACCACGGTCAAATAACTCACAACGGATCTTAAGTTCAGAAATTAAGTTCGCTATGTTACGAGGCACTTTCAGAGTATCGACAGTGAGTGGTTCTATACATGTCGGGCATGTCTGAGAGTACATGAGATGTCTGGTGATACAACCACGACAAAATACATGTTCATTATGGCGACACATGACTGGGTCTTTGATGACATTCGTACAAATGATACAGTGCAAGGTCTTGCTGACAATCTGTTCAAAGCGTTCATCATCGTAACCTGTGTCGTACGAGGCAAATCTCGATGCGGCCATTTCAAAACCCTCGCATTTTACTCACATTTCTGAACCAGCACAGTATAAAGCTATGAGTCAAAGGATTGAAATTTGAAACAGTAATGAAAACTGATCTCATGCAGATAGCTTATAGCCTCTCGAGATCTCTTTGTTTATAAATAATGTGAATATAGTAAATTATCTACTTACTTTGGGTAAAATGATGAATTGGCGTCGATTTCGGGACTAATCGACACTTTGAAAAGCACAGTTGAAGCGCTCAATTTGAGGGTTTAATTACACATCAGTATACAGCTTCAGTTCCGAGATAGTGAATATCTTCGAATTTGCGACATTCGATTCTCACTTGACCCATACTAATAATAATAATGTGACAGTTTGTAATTCTATCCTTTTAATAGTATTTGGTTGAGTTGAAATTGCGATATTTCACAAACTTATTTTTTATTCGTTTCTTATATGAAATACTTCGCTATTATAAACATACAGCTTCTCGTTACTGACAAAACGTGCACAGAGACACTGTTGAGTTGATGCCAGGTACTTAAGCTCCTTCCGTTTAAATATCATCTGCATTTTTACATCGTATTGAAACGTGTTGACGAGCCATTGAACCAGTCAAACTTTTAAACTCAGACTAGATGAGCTAAGTCTGTGTTTACAAAGGTTGAACAGAGTTGATAAATGTTGTTGTTGAGGGTTTGCATCAACCCGGTCAGTTTTAACTGGAGCGCGCATACATTTCTACCTTGATTTGGAAAGACCCGCAGGGCGTGAAGGTGATTATATACAGGGCGCTTATATGATTATATACAGGGTGCTTATATACTATATGTAGTATATAAGCGCCCTGATTATATATGGATATCGTATGCTTGCTGAAGTGACTGTATTTTTAAAATCAATTTCTTTATTTGCAAACGGTTTTATATACTTTTATATATTGTAAGTTTAACTCTCCCAAATTTTATCCTAACTGTTAACTTAATTGTTATCTTGATCTAATCCGTGATCCCAATCCCGATTAAATATCTAATCTAATCCAAGCTTTAATTAAAGCCTTATCTTGTGCTGTCATTTATTGGTTAAAATGGTGAAAATCGTTTCTCGAATCTGAATAATTTATGTATCAGATTTATTGGTGGCATATTTGTATATCATTTTTATATTACATATTGGTGGCATATTTGTGTATCATTTTTATATTACATATACTGACTAAACAGAAAATAATATGCACAGTATATATTTACTTTTAACATACAGCAGCCGTAGCAATGCATCTTGCTTCATGCATTTCTGGAAGTTCTTCCCAGCTGTATCTATCAAATCTAAAACTTTCCACAGACTTCAAGTTATTTCTACCATCCTGGCCTCCCATCACGACCACAGTGTCTCTGACAACTGCGGCCACACATCCTTTCCTCTTGTACTTCATGTCTGGAAGCATGTGACTCTTCTGGGTCTTGATGTTGTAGATTAAGACTTTGCTTAACGCTTTGTCGTTACTGTCAGCGCCACCCATTATGATGACGTTATCTTCACCCCACTTAACTGTGGCCATTTGACTCACGGGGTAGGGGAGGGGAGCCAACTCCTTAAATTCATTTTTAATGATGTCATACATCAGAACATTTTGAAGTGTTGACGAATTGAATAGGGTCTTCATTCCTCCAATGATCAGAATCTTATCACCAAATATCGCAACGCCGTGGAAGTATCGTGTCTGAGGCATTCTAGACAACAGTTTCCTGGGATAAGGAGGGACAAGTGAGATCTCAGTAATTCTATCCGAAGATGTACTTGTACATCCATCATAACCACCAATCAGTATCAACCGTCCCAGATGAATCACGCTACAGAGGGCATACAATGATCCTGGTAACTCCGCACAAACAATTTCCCACTTGGCTATGGACTTGTCACTTAGAGCAACGTCCAATGACACCTTCTCCATGGAAGTCTTGCCAAAACCTCCCAAAATGAATAATTGATTGTTGTAGACAAACGAAAAGGCTCCACTGTGACGTTCTCTGGTCCCCTGTAGTCGTGTCCAAGTCCCGCTCGCCAGGCTGAACATTTCTACCGATGTTGACGTCGATTCGTCACCTCCAGCAACAATGATTCTCGGTTCTCTGTCCTTTCCATCAGCGTTTGCAATTCCTTTCTTCAGTTGCTTCGTGATCTCATTCAAACATTTCTTCATTTCAACATTGTCCGCTTCAAGCCGTCGATTGGTTTTTTGGACAAGTTCAAGTTTTGAAACAACATTTTCCTCGAGAGTTGTTATTTTCGCGTCGTTTCTCTCGTAATGCTTCTCAATTCTTTCGAATTTTCCATTGATCGATGCCAGGTTAGCTTTGACGACATTCACTTCATGACTTATGTCATTACAACTATGACATTTAACCCTGCGTTGTTCACACACAGCTGTTTCATGATGAAGTAAATCTTGCTTGTTGACTTCCACTCCACAACCTTCATTCGAGCAGAATGCTGGACCAAACCCACAGTCTACAACGTGCTTTTCAAGATCTCCTAGCAGAATGAATCTCTCACAACCGCGGTCGAAGAATTCACAACGGATCTTAAGTTCAGAAAGCAAGTTCGCTATGTTACGAGGAACTTTCAGAGTATCGACAGTGAGTGGTTCCATACATGTCGGGCATGTCTGAGAGTTCATGAGATGTCTGGTGATACAACCACAACAAAATACATGTTCATTATGGCGACACATGACCGGATCTTTGATGACATTCGTACAAATGATACAGTGCAAGGTCTGGCTGACAATCTGTTCAAAGCGTTCATCATCGTAACCAGTTTCGTACGAGGCAAATCTCGATGTCGCCATTTCGAAAGAATGTTCTTATTTTCGCTCACATATTTCGTAATGTGTCAAGATGTGAATCAGAAGATTAGCCACCTGTAAGTCAAAAAACACAGCATAAATTGCTTTCCTGAATTGTCATTTTAACAACAATTCTGCATTAATCCGTATAATTGTTGTGAACTCTGTCATCATTACCCGTGGTTTGTCATAGGTAAATCGCTAGGATAAATCATGAGCTTACCTTCTTTAAAATTACTATTGGCTAGAAAATGGTAAATTACTTTCTAAATCGTCCGCGGCGTTTTATGAAAATTTCCAAATACGTTTCTTTGCTTCAAAGCGACCTTTAGTATACAATCCCAGTGTTTTGATTTGAGAGTTATATATTGAAACGCTACGAAGACTTCCTGCATATCTGCATGATAGAATTCTTTGATATTGTGCTTGTACACATCCTGTTCTGGCTTCCTGCAGAGACGATTTCTTACAATTACACAATTACATATTATTTGACATGATCGAAACCGCAGGTGGCGGATACCGGCTACGCGATAAAACCTAACGGAAAATTTGTTAACATTGATGGTTATCAGTCAAAATTTAGTCCTATTTTGTGCAGTTGTATGAGACCTATTTGTCTTATGGCGTATATAAAGCAAACTGACATGTTGTTTTAGCTTTTTTTCCAAATACTTGCTTGAATGAACCAGGCGAGAATCGTAATCATGATAAAAAAAAATGATATACATATAGCTAATATAATATAATAATAAACATACAATTTATGAGTGAATTGCTAGCATGTCTTTCTTAACATAGACCTAGACTAACCTGTGTTGAATGGACGAGGTACACCCGTTTCAAAACTTTAAATCAGCCACACACAACACACGTATCTCCAAAAAACAATGTATTTTAATAATGTAAATTGAGCTTTTTATAGAACGATCTAACCCCCCCCTCGTTATGCTCGCAAAGAGGCATGGGAAGGTTTTAAAATTACCCTTTTTTCAAACAATGTTTGGGTCTGTTTGGTCTGTTGACAATTTGAGGATCAGATGGTGCATCTATTATACTATTATCTCGTTTATGACAATGTATAATTGCTTTAAGGCCATGTCACACAGTTTTTCTTGCAACTTGAAATACAATTCTACTTTGAAGTGATGTAAATTAGTGAAGAGTCTTGAAAATGTGAGTGTAAGATACGCCATCGAGTGTAATAAAGACAAGAATCTTGGTAGTTGCCAAATTTATATCTTTCAAAAGAAGAATTGCATTGCAAGTTGCAGGAAAAATTGCACCGTGTAACAGGGCCTTTAACAAGTGTAAATGGATTTTTTCTATTCGTAATATTTACAGCTTACTGCCGTAGCGCAGTGTCGTGCTTCATTCATTTCCTGAAGTTCCTGCCACGAATTACTTTCAAATGAGAATTTTTCCACCGATTTTAAGCAATTTTCGTCTTCGTCATTTCCCCCCATGACGATCACGGTGTCTCTGACAACCACAGCCACACATCCTCTTCTCTTGTACTTCATGTCTGGTAACATTTCGCTCTTCTGCGATCGGATGTTGTACATGAGAACCTTGTTTAATGCACGTCGATTTCTATCAACACCGCCAAGTATGATGACGTTATCTTCACCCCACTTAACTGTGGCCATTTCAGTCACGGGGTAGGGGAGGGGAGCCAACTCCTCCGGCTGAATTTCATTCTTAGTGATGTCATACATGATGACACTTTTGAGAGTTGCGTTCCTTCGAATGCCATATCTTCCACCGACAATCAGAATCTTGTCATGAAACAATGCAACACCATGGTAACATCTTCCCTGTGGCATGGTCGACAACGGGTTCATGGTGTAAGGAGAAACAAGAGAAATCTCAGTGATGCTATTGGCATATACATTCTGACCAAAACCACCAATCATTATCAACCTTCCATCATAAATAACACTGCGATTACCCACCAAAGGTCTAGGTAACCTAACAGGAATATCTTCCCAAGGTATGGAATGGTCGTAAACCACAAGGGATGTTAATTTTTCACTGGATCTTGTTGGAAAGCCTCCAATGACTACCATTTGTCCTTGGTGAACAACAGAAGACGCGTCACTACGACTTTGTCTCAACGACGCTAGCGGCGTCCAAGTTCCTTGGGAGGGTTGGAACATCTCCACAGAACTTAACGCGTTTCCTTGGTTCTCACCTCCGGCAACAATAACAACCGACTCTTCGTGTAATGCGCTATGTCGCTCCTCACGTTTTTTAAGAAGCTGTTTGAAGTCTGTTGTGACATCCTGCGAATCATTGCTGCTTCTTCCAAGTTGTTTAAACAAATGCGCGAAATCAGCACATTCAACTGGTACGTGGAACTTTGTACTACACTCTAAAGTGTCTAAAGTGCTCCGTGATAAACGTCTCAGATCACTCTCTAAACGTCTCAGATCACTTTCTAAACGTCTCAGATCACTATCTCGTGCAATTCGTGAAACTCTGCGGCGTTCACGCTCGGCTATTTCATGCTCAACTTCATGATCAGATAAATCTTGTCTATTCACTATGGCGTTACGCCAAAGACATTCCTCTGGAGCAAACCCACACTCTGCAACATGCTTTTCAAGATCTCTCAGTTCAACAAACTCCGTGCAACCACGGTCGAAGAAATCGCATCGAATTTTTAATTCAGACAGTAAGTTCGTCACATTTTGAGGTACTTGGGCCAGAGAATCGCCAGTGAGTGGTTCCATACATGTCGGGCATGTCTGAGAGTTCATGAGATGTCTGGTGATACAACCACGACAATATATGTGTTCATTATGGCGACACATGACCGGGTCTTTGAGGACATTGTGACAAATTTGACAATGCAACGCCGGGCTGACAACTTGTTCAAAGCGTTCATCTTCATAACCAGTATTGTATTCCGCGTCCTTTCTGGCCATTTCAACTCAAAACAGTTATTTAATGGCCGTCATTAGCGTTCCTCGTTACGGTTTTGCTGGTTTTAGGTTTCGATTTTAACTTCCTACATTGTTATTCACCAGCAGTTCTGCATCAATGGTCCTTGCCACGTCAATATATCACTTCTTCTGTATGGTTCCTACGCCCTGTTTTTGTCAATTTGTGTGACTGAATTGAATCCTTTGCCCACTAATTTTATATCGAGAAAAGATCTACAGAAAGACAGATAGAAATAACCTATTTTACCCTCTATGAACACTGTTCATGTAAAATTGTTTGCTTTAATTTTATTTCCTGCCAGTTAATGTGGCGATAAAACTGCTATATATAGGTCATGTCTTTTAAAAGCGATAACGTGCTGCCACTTTTTACTCTGCCTACAATTTTCCTTCTCACTACTTAGTTTAGTAAGACAACATTCAAAACTATATGAACTATAACCATATTTCGTCAACTTAACAAGCATTTTAGTCGCAATATCGACGTATGTGTTTACGTTGTGTATTATAGTTTAACTTGGTCTAGACCAAGTAATTTTGCTCAACAGTAGTAGTAGGGTAATTTCAGAACGTGTAGATGCGAACGCGTATAGTGGATATTTGTAAGACAGAAACTTTCGATGAAGACAGCTTTCGATTTGTACTTGAATATTTATTCAGTAACCGTTCTGCTTCGGTAATGAGATATTTGTACCTTTCTCTTTAGCACATTTGGACCTTGCCTTCTCCAAAGTTACCAGGAAATATGATAAATTCCCTTAGTGCATTTACTTTTGAGGGTCTTATTAGATCCTTGGTTACGAAGCGACTTGGCTTTAAACAGTGTCAGCCTGTATTCATGAGCTATGACTATGTTGTATATATAAAGGCAATGAAAAACACTCGAATTCCAAACATTGCGCATTTTTAATAAGCGTCCAACAGAGAAGTTATAAAGAAAGGCTGTTTTTACCGTCGCGTTTAAAAGTGTAAAACGTAAACAAGCAATTACACGTTAGGAAAAATGCGCTCGCAAATCATCTAACTTACCTAAGCCTGTTAAAGACATTGAACTTTTCATGTTACATTAAGTTCAAACCTCAAACGCCATTCACTCTGTTGGCCTTTCATTTATAATTATCTCGTTGATTTCAGGGGTTCACGTGGACATCGCGTGCAAATACGAAAGCGACCAAGAAATCAATGCTTTTGCCTTCCGTACGCATGCGCATGATTTAGGTAAGTTCAGGGCGGTATGTTTTATTACACTCCATGGTCGCTTTTTGCACTTACATTTGAAGACTCTTCACTAATTTTCATCTCTGAAAAGTAGAATTGTATTACAGGTTTTAAGATACATTGAACCGTGTATAAACGTGGCCTTTTAAGTCTTGTTTATTCCGCAATAGGTCGTGTCATCACGGCATATCGGATAAGAAACAATACTTGGAAATTACTAGGCAAGGGTGACCCCCAAGCTCCACAGGTAGGTCATTTATTTCATCAGTTTTACACAGTCTGTCAGACACTGTTTTACACAAACTTCACTCAACCGTATCTAACAACCACGGCCCCAAAATTGTACAACGAACTTGCCATAGGGTATCAGTATGAACGTTCAAATAACCAATTCCATTTTGCTACCCATGTTGAATTCAGCGTTATATTCAAGTATTTTATGAAAATGGTTGACGATAGACATGCAGCAGCACCATATCACTGGTCGAACTAAGTTTCTTTGCATGTGTTGCTTAATCACGACTGTTTGGACAGAGTGGCTCAGTAACTTGCTAATTATCTGAAAGAGTAATAAAACGTAATATCATTTTTTAGGCATTTTATCCAATGGATAATGTTACAATGATTAAAAAAGGAGACATTTTGGTAAGCCTGATTCTTACTGATTTCATCACTTCGAATCATTGAATCAACAATTCGTATTTTTGAGAACTTCTATTGCCTGGTTTCCAGGCAAGTCGTAAGTGTCGTGAACATGTCAAGGTGGCTGATGTGCACGATAGAATATTTCTATTTGTGTCCAGTCAACAATGACCGGTTTGAATACAGAAATAAAGACAAATTCACGTCCAGGCTATCCCTCATTGGTGAAAATGACTCGTACACGACAATTACGACTGAATTGAAACCAGGCTTAATAGTTTCCATCGTGCAATTTTCTGACCTATGTTGGGGAAGCATAATCGTGTTTTTTCTCCGTATTCAGGCTGCGAGATGTACCTACGATACTGTGAATAGTGGAAAAACTTCAGCTACTCTGATTGGGTGAGTAAAAATGACTAAATACTCACTTTATATTTTTCGCCAGTTGCTGATACAAGCTGTTTGTATTTGCAAGTCGGTGTCTTGCGGTTCTCTGAGCCAGAACTTGACAGCCTGCTGGGATAAGCACTCTCAGGTCTAACAATGACACAAATCTAAATGTTTTTCATTCGTAATAATGTTCTCAACTATGTGTCTTGACATCACCTTTTTAGCTTTATGCTAAAAGCTAGCTTTGAAATATGGCGTTTGTACGCATGTTTATTCTTTCATACATATACCATGGTAAGATCTGCACACGACAAAATTGTTTTATTGGTGTAAATGAGCCTTCACCAAGCTGGTGCTTCATTGCAATTTTAGTTCAACAGCTGCTGACGAGATGTGTAATTTTTACATGATGTACTATCGAGATGCGAACAGCAGTATATCCACGCCTGAGGTCTGCGCAGAACAGCATGAGTACGAGAACCTTTACGATTCCTTTCCAATCGGTTCTGATGTTGCTCTTCGCTCTGGTCCAGGCCACCATCACCATCATCACCACCATGGTAGTCCCGAGAAAGAGGCTGGGAACGAGTCTGCTGATGTCGCAACTGGCAGCAAGATGACTGGCACGAGTCAAGGTGAAGAAATATCTTTATCCACTATCCGGTCATCATTTACGTAACGACTTTACATGAAGTACAATGATGCCTTAAGTTCTGTTCATACGATCGAATTTTGTTGGATCTAATTCACTTCTGACGTATGGGATGTAGTGTAAAAGCAATACTGAATTGCCATACCGAATTATCGTTAAAGCAATACTGAATTGGATCCAACAAAATTGGATCGTGTGAACAGACCTTTATATCTAGTATAATCATACCAGTAAAAATACCCAATCTAATAATAGGTATTGTGTATAACATCGTGCTGTATTGTAGTTATACTTCAATATAAATATATGAAATGTTACTGAAGGAAAGTTACTGAAGAAAAGCGTTGTCAGTATATGTGTTTAGTTAAACAGAACGGTTAGATCTTCAGATTTCTACGTTTTTTTAGTGTTCCCCACAAGTGTCCCTGAGACAACCACTGTTCAGACCTCTACGAGTGAGAGAAAGTCCACAGAGAAACCGTTGACTAGAACTTCAAGCAGCGACCAAAAATCCGGTGGCCAAATAAATAATGTGCATGAAGATGGCTCGGATCAAATTGGCACACATGGTGACGTCAGTAACGGTGATGATGATGATGACGTAAGTGATGGTGGTGACGTTAAAGATGGAGATGGTAATGTTAAAGAAGCTGATGGTAACGTCGAAGCTGACGGTGTCATAAAGGTTGATGCTGGTATCAAAGATGGTGATGACGTCAAAGATGATGATGACGTCAAAGATGATGATGACGTCAAAGATGATGATGACTTAAGAGATAGTGGTAACGCTAAATATGGAGATGGTAATGTAAGGGATGATGACGACAAAAAAGATGAAGATGACGTCAAAGATTATGCGAATGGTGCCAAAGATCTAAATCACGTCATCCAAAGTGACGTCACAAGCGACAGACCTACTACCCACACCACGTCTTACCAACAAGCCAGAGAAATGACCACAGAGAACACATTGCAAGAAACAACACGATCCCCGCAAGCAAAAACATCTCGTTCCGTCACAAGCGACGTCTCAACAAGTACTTCGATTTCCGAGCAAATTACGACGGTCTCCGAGCTCCCGAGCGGTTCAAAATTTCCTCGAACGACAAGATCCACCAAAAAATCAACTTCGACGTCTTTTGACGATCACAATTTATCCAAGACTACATCAAGTATTGGCGGAGGACGGTCACAAGTTGAACCTTCTGTGGCGTACGGAGTAACGGGCTTTAATGTTTCTCTGGTGGAATCCTGGCCGTTTGAAGTGACGGTGGGCTTGGGGCAAGTGACTGGCTTAGCAGTGGATACCGCTGGTCGCTTGTTCGTGTTTCATCGCAGTGAACGAACCTGGGAAGCGGAGTAAGTGCTGGAAGATTACTCAATACTATGTTTGCATAAATCATTTCAAACGTTTTGCTAGAATTCTAGTACATATTCATTTGCCATTCAAAAGTCAGCCGGTTGGCTTTAATCCTGTTTTATACGAACCTACAAATCATTTTTGTAGCATTTTGTGTATAAAATTGAAAAGGTGGACTCCGAAATCTTTCCTGTCTTAATGGAGTTTAGTTCCCAAAGTCTTGAATAGTAATAAATGAAACATTCAACAAAAACAGCAGATTAAGATTAAACGTTTTCAAACCGATCCCAGATACTCTCCTTTCAATCCAGACAGTTATAACATTGGAAAACGTAAACTCTTACAAATCCATAGCTTTATTAAGTTCTTTTTTGCTTAATAAAGTCAATTCTTGTATTTACCCATTCCAGCACGTTCAACATAGACGATTCATTCCGGAATCCGCAAATCCGCGGTCCCATCCGTGGCTCTACCATCTTGGTTTTGGATGGTGTCAGCGGTAAAGTCCTGGAGAAACATGGCGAAAATATGTTTTATATGCCTCACGGTCTTACCATCGATCACCAAGATAATGTATGGGTCACTGACGTTGGCCGTCATCAGGTAAGGTCGTCTGTTCGAAAAGAACGTCAAATCATAGGCCGTATTCTGTGGCCGATTATCGTTCAGTTTCGTTGCCCCCCTTCGGGCACTACTTAAAAACACGATAGAAAATTAGGATAAATTATAGAAAGTCTAAATTCACTTGTTTTCACCTTCATAAACCTGCAGTTTTCGAGCATTTCATCTTCGAAAAATCAGTGAATTTGCATGTTTTGCAATACACCGACGCCATTTTGATTCAGGAAATGTTGAGGATACTTGGTGTAATATACGACATATATAGCAGATTCAGCAGTTTTATACCGGTATTTACATGAAGTTTCCAGCATTTTTGCTGTGCAAGCAGGTTTCAACAAGGAAGCTTTGAGTGGAGTTTTACGAGGTTTTTCGCAAATTTTCATAGTTTTTCAAAACCAAATTAGTCAGAGAAGACTTAGACAACAATCAATCGGAAAAACATCCGCCAATTTGCGATTTTTTTTATAGCATTCTGCTCTTGGAATTTACAAATAAATAAGAACAACTTTATTTACACGCATCAAAATCACCCACGAGTGTTTTGTTCCTAGTCAATTTATATAAAATAATTACTACACAATTCTTTTCCAGCACACCTTTTGTTTTATATTAACTACTTTTATAATACACACGTTTCCTCAACAATTATTTAAGCGTGATTTGCAACGTACAACTACTGTACATGTTAAATTATTGAACACGCCTACCAAGGTAGATATCAGCCATACGTTTGAATACCATTGTGGGAGAATTATGAGCGCCTCAAAAACACAAATAAAATGTTGAACTCAACCCTTTTAATCGGACAGCTAATACCACAACTCTGTCTCATCATCGAGGTTAGCATGTAGAATTAATTAAACGAGTGTCTGCTTCTTCGTGGTTGCTATGAAGCGAAGACACCTCATTACTTGTTACACTATCGTTCGGGGAATCACCGGGATATAAAACATAGCATCTTTCTTTAGCAGTTACATACATAGTAGAAATGGAACACCACCAGGAAGAGTTACATGACCTCCAGTGTTCACTTTTCAGCTCTTCGTTGTCTCTCTGCATTCTTTATGCTCAACTAAGGATACCTGTCTGCAACAATATAATTGTTTGGAATTATACTTTCGTGCTAGCGTGATGAGGTTTTTAAAAGAGCATCATCGCCAAATGTTTTCCATTTTCCTTTCATCGACTGAATAACTGCCATAGCATCTACAATCAGTGCATTGTTGTTAAATGCACAAACATTGACTTCTGGATTTCCAGATTCATTTTCCAATACTTCAGCAAGTTTAGACTTAGGCCAACTTGGCAGTTTTCACATGTCCTCTCACGTTTTCATAAGGAAAATGTTTGAAATTTGTTCTGTAATACTTCTGTTTAAACTTCGTACAGATGTCTGGGTCTTCGCTCAACAAATTCGTTTTTAGTGGATTGATGATAATAAGATAAAGACGTTGGTAATTAACTTTGTCAAAAAACTGAGATGTTGTAAATAGTTTTGTTGAGAAAACGTGTGTATTATAATGTATTATAAAAGTAGTTAATATAAAACAAAGGCTGGAAAGGAATTGTGTAGTAATTATTTTATATAACTTGACTAGAAACAAAACGCTCGTGGATGATTTTGATGCGTGTAAGCAAAATTGGCGGATGTTTTTCCGATTAATTGTTGTCTAAGTCTTCTCTGACTAATTTGGTTTAGAAAAACTATAACTCCACTCAAAGCTTCCTTGTTGAAACCTGCTTGCACAGCAAAAATGCTGGAAACTTCATGTAAATACCGGTATAAAACTGCTGAATCTGCTATATATGTCGTATATTACACCAAGTATCCTCAACATTTCCTGAATCAAAATGGCGTCGGTGTATTGCAAAACATGCAAATTCACTGATTTTTCGAAGATGAAATGCTCGAAAACTGCAGGTTTATGAAGGTGAAAACAAGTGAATTTAGACTTTCTATAATTTATCCTAATTTTCTATCGTGTTTTCAAGTAGTGCCCGAAGGGGGGCAACGAAAATCGTTTTCTAAGCGACTTTTCGTGCCAGAGAATACGGCCTATCAGTCCACCGCTCCGGTGAGATTATCTGTTTTTTTATCGTTTATTGCGAATTTTGTAGGTGATGAAGTTCCCTCGTGGCGAATTCAAAAAGCCGACTTTAGTTTTGGGTAAAAACCTTGTTCCTGGCTCCGGATACGAACATTTCTGTAAACCAACTGATGTGGCTGTGGAAAAATCTGGTGTCTTTTATGTTTCTGATGGGTAAGGTCAAGGGCTCTTATATTTTTAATGCAAGGATAAATAACTTTTAAAAGAAAATGCAATAAATACATTTTGATGGTAGAAGCTTCTTCTATAGGTGCAGTCAGAATATTTTTCCCCGTGAAATATCCGTTGTTTTTCTATTTTTACTATATGTAATGTGACTATGGACCTGGAATGTGTCAAGAATTTGAAAGAGAGAAAACGATGCAGTGCTTTTATGAGTCTCCAAACACAATTCTCACGAAACCTTTCGTTTTTGTTTTAGCTATTGCAATAGCAGAATCATGAAGTTTTCGCCTGAAGGTCGGGTTATGAGAGTGTGGGGGAAGGCCTCCCGGCAAAATGGTGAGTGATGCTATGTTTTTACAACTTTTCCTGTGTGTTGGAAATTGTGCGGATATATGATAATTAACATAATGCATGCATAGGTATAATTAACACTGCATGAGGAACAATAATAAGTAAGGAACTCGGATGATTAAAGACAGATTGGAAGTGACGTTCAACTTGAGAGTATCAATTAGGGATTGCGATAGTGAATGTGAATGTGTGTGGATGAAATGCAGATGTATTAGCTAGTACCTTTCGAGGTTCACCTAAGACTTGGTCGTTGCATTTCCTTACCAAAAACTTTGCCTTAAATTGAGCTTCATGTTCTAACAATCTCGCACTGTAATTTCCAGTTCCTCTTCCGGGCACATTCGCTATTCCGCACAGTCTAACTCTGGACGAGAACAGAGGAATGCTGTACGTCGCTGATCGAGAGAACGGTAGAATTCAATGCTTTGACACAGAAGGAAAGTTTCATAAGCAGATCTCATCTCCAAAATTTGGAGGACTCGTGTTCGCTGTCGTCTTCAGTAACCAAGGTAGGGTTTGCCGCACGCAATATCATTAGAGGCAAGTCCATTGACTCCATCCAATGAAGACAAGCAAGGCTTTGCCTGTTTGAAACGTCCGTCACAACAGTAACATTAGAAGTCCTAACACATATAACACTACTGACTCAGAACAATGTTTCGCTGAAATCGCTGAATTGGAACCTATTTATAGTAATTTAGACCAACTTTTATCGCCCCTTGCATGCTTTTTACGTTTATCATTTTCTTCAAGATTACGTTAAGATTTCTTGTCATTAAGATTTCTTCATTTGCCACAAAACAACACATTGGTATTAAACTAAAATCGCTTGACAAATCACAATTTTAATAATCACCTTTGTAATTATGTATAAAGCTGTATGAACAAACTAATCCATGCTATACTTTCTTTCTGTAACATAGATGACGTTCTTTATGCTGTGAACAGTGGTTTCAAAACTAAAGTTCAAGGATTTACGATTAATCCACGCAGTGGAGATATCATCGCAACGTGGAGTCCTCACGGCAAGGTACGAGTCTCGGTTATCCCCCGGGGTTCTGGGTATCCTCAAAGGATTCTAGTTATCCCTCTGTGATACTGGTTAGCCTCTGAGGATCCTAGTTCCCTTCCCGTCGTGAGGATTCTGGTTATTCTTCCAAGGATTTGATTTTCCTTCCAAAGATATTCCAAGGATTCGGCTTCCCAACATGGAATTATCACCGTAACAATGGACCCCCATAGTCATGGCTGATAGGACACGTTTTAACGTCTCTGTTTCATAAAATCTTTTCATAGGGCTTCTCACAACCTCATGCTGTCGTGTCCAATGGCTCGAGTATTTTTGTTGCTGAAATCGGTCCCAACAGAGTGTGGAAATTTGAACACCCGAGCAAAGGTTAGCATATCTTTAGAGAGTTGATAACTTTGATCGCACAAGTTGTGAAAATTGACAAACCTGCAGCAGACGTGTGCTCGGGCTGCTTGTTCCAGGCTTGTTGACAAGTTGCTGCAAACCCGCAGCAGACTTTTTACAAGCTTGTTGACTTTTACTGCTACAAGCTTGTTCTATCAACTTGTTATCGTTATGCAACTCCACAAGTTGTCAGTGACAAGCTTGTAGCGACTTCACAAAATAACAACATTGTTAGCAAGCTTATTTCGAACACAACTTGACAACAAGATGTGAGATTTTTACATTCAGAGCATTTATAACTAGTTGCTCCATTCGCGTCCATCGCAGGGATAAAATCGCAGTATTATAAACAAGCGTGCAAGTGTAACATATTTGTACTTTACTAGTTTCTGTTAAAGACGAGAACTTTGTTCGTGGACTGAACGCGGCCGTCCAGGGATCAAACCCAACAAAACCATCTGACGAAACTACCACGGGCAAGCACGACGATACCCGAAAGCCACCCAAGTCCAGTAATAGCCCCGGGTACATAATATTGGCCATACTGAGTGTCCCAGTTGTCGTACTGCTTGTGGTTGGTTTGATAAGTCGATTGACTCGGGGTAGCCATAGGTCACCCAAGTACGATATGATGGATGCCTCACTTGGAAATCACACCGGTTCCGGGAATTGGTGTAATTCTATGAACTGCTGCAACAGGCAATATCGTAACATGGAAGAACTGTATCTCATGGACAGCGACAGCGATATCGACATTTACCCCGATGTGCGCGTGGGCAAAAAGTGATTGGTCCGTGATTGAGCATGAACATTAGATCACGTGGCGGTTTGAATTCTTATCAGGGAGATTTAGCATGTCTTAAGACGTGAACGTCAAAGACGTGAAAATGGCGAGTAAATGGCGTGGCATGTCCATATTTGGGCGCATCACGCCATTTATTCGCCATTTTCACGTCCTCTTTGACGTTCACGTCCTCATGCTAAATCGCCCTATTGTAGATCCAGGGCCTGTTTACACATGTTCGCGCGGTTCTATAGGGTCTGGCCTCTCTTTGAGATTTCCATTGCTGAAATGAAACAAAGGAAATGATCATTCAGTTTTTTTCGAGGATCTGGTTTCTGGATTGGTTGATTTCGTACTTAGATCAGCTGGTTGTTGCGACTTTGGTGATGGTCGATATGTTTGCAGGGCCCTAAGAAACGGGTGCTCACTTGAGGCACGCCCCTCCCTCTGACTGCCAATTTTAGACTTCAAAAGATATTCGACCTCCTAATTTGACTTGCTTCTTGCCAACCTCCCTGTGACATTTTTACACAAGGGGGGGGGGGGATGATAAGAACTCAAGCCGCCAGTAGACGAATTTAATATATTATTTCAATTTTATTCTGCCTTGAAATTTTCCATAGAGCTCGAGTGCCTTCTGGCAAGACATTCAAACACAAGTGAATTGTATTTTTATTGCATTAAAAATGCAGTTGAATAGAATATAAATTATTGCAAAAATCTATGCCTTTGCAAAAATCTATGCCTTTTTATTATGACGGACTGTCACGTCATTTTTGACACAAATGATAGCGATATTATCTTATTGAACGACGTTTCGATGCTAAAACGTGCATCATTTTCAAGTTATGATAATTACATTTAAATTGCGTTGATTTTAAACGGTTCATGTCACGTTAGTATATATTGCGCGAGCATGCTTAAGATCATGCATGTCACATCATTGTCTGAAAAGTCACTAAAAGTATTCTGGTTTAGGAAAAAAAGCGCCTTTGTAAGTTGTAACGACTAGAGACTTTGGTCATGATGTTGAATTAGCATAACGCAACTCGTACCTAGCCTGCATGGCAGGCGATCCCTAAAATCGGGCGATACTCGTGTTCGGTGACGTCAATGGTGACGTGCTACGGTGATGTTTCCATGGTGACGTATTCGATTACGTATAATTAATATTCCAAAATATAACAACAAAAGCGTCCCAACTTTTCAATGAAGACTATTTTTGTTTTATTCAGCATTTTCTCCATCATTTCTTTGTAAGAATATTAGAATATACATTCCGCTATGTCAACATCGAGCGTGTCTACTCTGAGATTCGAAAATGGAGAAAGTCGCGATACAACGTTTGCGCAAAGTTTGAAAGATCAGCCTTCGAGCGAAACGTCAAAAGGGCATCACTGGAATTCGAAAGCAAAGCAAATGATTTTGGACGAATCTACAACCGAAAAGCAGGCAAACAGATTACTCCGAGACGATACGATGTTAGAGGCTTTAGATAACTTAACAGACAACGAATTAGATGAGCTTTACGAACGAAGTTTGGTGCTGAATAAAAGATTGAAACAGCATTTAAAAGATGAACATTTGGCTGGAAGTGTAAACAATCTTGAAAAGACAACTGATATTCAATGGTCTAGAAACACTGTGGTTTTGCCGCCAATTGTTACGAAGAACAGTCTAGTGGCTAGACGCCTTAAGGCAAACAGATAATATTTACTCAACAACAATATTAGTGATTTAGTGATCAATATATTTATATGTGTATATGAGTAATGAGTAGGGGGCTCGATATACCCACAGTTAGCGAAGTATAGAGATAATACAATGAAGATATTCAAGATGAAATTCAATAAACTTGGTTTACTTCATATAAATGCGTTTCAATGCTTGGCATTGCTTGAAATCAAACGCGACTCGAGGTAGTAATAATAATAACCCGCGACAAGCCACGACCCACGACAAATTAAAACCATGACAATCAGATTAATCATCATATAAAACATGACCTATGAAGTTTTGTAATATTGTAAATACACCGTAATGAACTTAGAAATAACAAAATATCGCATTTAAAGGCAACTCTTCGGTAAAATCAAAGAATGCTAAATTTTCTGTGTGAAAGCCAGCACAGAAATGAAAACAGCAGAAATATAAAGTTGTCATCATAAGATGTGGTCACACACGTGGCAATGCAATTATTCTATTTTGTTACATGCAAAATATGAAGCCTAAAGAAGCAGTAATGTCACCTGTGTGACCAGAGAATTCCCCAGATGTGTCATGGTTTGATGTCTCTAGAATTCTTTGGTAACAGTTTCAAGTTTGGTAAGCTGATCTAATTGGACTAAACACATTCTTACTAATTGTGCTTCTTAAATAATGTAGAGTTCTCAGTAAAATCTGCAATGATTTTTTCATTACCTGAAGACTACAGAAATGACTGCATTTGTGGCAAGATGTGGAAGTAAATGTTTGGTGATAGCATGCACCTTTCTTAAGAATACTGATGTTTTTTTACTTTAGCACAGATTTTATGCTGCGGAATCACCAGATGAAGACATGTACTGTGGAGACAATTGCAGTAATAGTCCGTTTTCTGCTGCGAAATTGCATGTTCGGAGTTGATCGGTATTTTGTCGTCAATTGATTATCATACTACTTGTCTGATATGATCACGTGGTAAGGTTGTAGCAAGATTGAAGACGGTAGTATAGAAGCTTTAATACGGTTGTTTCCTATTGGCTCAGACTCTAACGAGGGTAGCAAAGTTAGCGAACCAATCAACTTCGAAGAAACTCCCGCTTTACAATTATAGGTGCTGTGTACTTTAAATGTGATTGGTTCATTCGTAGTCACATGACTGCAAATAAATGCAATGTTTCCCGCCAGGGAAACAAGTGAAAAATTGTTGCCCGCTTCTTGTCATAACAAAGTAAAGTAGGTTTCTTTTCTAAATGAAATATTATCACTATTTCCCTCGGGAGCATGTATAATATTGAAATTATCATGCCACTCGTTAGCGACTTACCGTCGAAGTTGAGGCGAGCAAGGAGGAAGTTTTAATATGACATGTCAATTTTCATTCAAGGGAGCAGAAACTGCATCTTATTTTGAAGCTGCATGATATGTTTGAAATGATACTGGATCAAAGATGTCTCCATAAATCAAAGATATAGACAGCCTTGTACAAGTAAATTGATATTCTGGTTCGAAATGAAAGTATGTATTATATGTAATGTTTTTTGAGCGTATCGCTGCGTTTACATTGCTTTTTTTGTTGCTTTAAATCGAATTTAAACTCTCCAGAATTTCCCAACACAGGCAACACTAAGTTGCTTCGCCAATTTTTTTCTAGCACGATTTCGATTGATTCCTTCAGAAATTTCTCAACATTTTTACTATAAAGAATGTGTAGAATCGCCTTTACGTTGCCTCGCTTTAAATTGGATTTAATCTCTTTGCGTTTTTAGATAAAAAAATGAGAAATTAACGAAAAATTACGACCTTTTAAATTCAATCCCCCCCACAGTGAGTAAAACTGAACGTTCCTGATACAGCCAGCCCAAATAAGTAAGAAAGCTGCTGTCTACTGCTATTAATAAACGTCTATTTAATATTTATTGACCAAAAACCACGACCAGCCAACAATTTGAAAAATTAGAGTGAAAAACAAATTCAGCTTGGATTAACTGGCCATCCGCCCATATGCTGGATTAATAATATGTGCGCACTCTCTGTGTTGTATCTATAATGTACATGCATTGTAAAGTGTTGTATTGTATTTCATTCTGTCTGAAGATGACTTTGAAATAATTTAAAGTAAAAAATTTACAGTCTCAACCTTTAGTTATATAAAGGGATGACCATAATTATAAAAAGGAATGAATCAATTATAGAATACTTGGCCAACAACTAGACAATAATTCAGATATGGTTCGAAATGGAATTTTGTACTCCTGTATTCTTCCTACATTACAAATACTATATTCGTGTTATCTTCTTATATTTAGAAACCTGTTTGAAAGTCAACAAGATTTCTGCACTGATCCGGTAATTTGCTTTATGATACTGAAATTCTTGCAGTGTTCTTATAATATAATAGACTAAATATATCAACTGTCCTGACATAAAGTTTGGAGCCAGAATGACTTAATTTCTTAAGAACAAATTATATTATTTTGCTTTTTAGTATTCAGAGGGCCTGGAGTGTTAACTAAGGTAATTTGACTTTATTACCTGGGGAATCATTTAGGGAAATAAAATAGGGGCAGTCAAAATTTGATTTAAAGTGCCACTGTATATTGTTAGGATAACTGGTCAAATTTGCTTCTATGGTCACCCTATGTGGAACTAATAATAATTCCTGTGGTATAGTCTAGCTTACAATAGATAAAGCAACCATAGTTATATAAAGGGATGAAGCAATTATAGCATACCATTGGAACATTGAAAAATCGTCAAAATTGAGCAAAATGGTAAGGCTTACCCCTTACCATTTTGGTCAATTTTGACGACTTTTTTTAATTGTTCAAAAACTGTCCTAAAATGCTAAAAATAACTTCCTAAGTCTAATATCTTTCATTTTAGAGCATATTTGGTTGGTTTTTGAAACAATGAAAAATCGTCAAAATTGAGCAAAATGGTAAGTTTTTCACCCGTTCAAAAACGGTCTTAAAATGCTAAAAATGGCTTCCTAAGACTAATATCTTTCATTTTACAGCATATTTGGTTGGTTTTTGGAACATTCAAAAATTGTCAAAATTGAGCAAAATGGTAAGGCTTACCCCTTACCATTTTGGTCAATTTGACGACTTTTTCAATTGTTCAAAAACTGTCTTAAAAATGCTAAAAATGGCTTCTTAAGACTAATATCTTTCATTTTAGAGCATATTTGGTTGGTTTTTGGAACGATCAAAAAGTGGTCAAAATTGGCCAAAACGGTAAGTCTTACCCCTTACCATTTTAATCAATTTTGACCACTTTTTGAACTGTTCAAAAACTGTCTTAAAATGCTAAAAATGGCTTCCTAAAACTAGTATCTTTCATTTTAGAGCGTGTTTGGTTGGTTTTTGGAACGATCAAAAAGTGGTCTAAATTGGCCAAAACGGTAAGTCTTACCCCTTACTATTTTGGTCAATTTTGACCACTTTTTGAACTGTTCAAAAACTGTCTTAAAATGCTAAAAATGGCTTCCTAAAACTAGTATCTTTCATTTTAGAGCGTATTTGGTTGGTTTTTGGAACGATCAAAAAGTGGTCTAAATTGGCCAAAACGGTAAGTCTTATCCCTTACCATTTTGGTCAATTTTGACCACTTTTTGAACTGTTCAAAAACTATCTTAA